AGCGGATTGCGCTCCTCAAGAAATCGGATGAACAGTTTAAGAAAGTCTTCCATTATGAGCTGGAACCTTTTCTCTGTTTGATGCAATTGAAATGAGGAAGACTCCCAAGTCAATTCTATATGACTTGTTCACACTACTGAATTAGGTAAATCCGGAAGGAGCAACTTTTGCCATCGATGTTTTACGTTTTCTTCATCGGGTTGTGTAGAAGAATGGTAACACATTCGAATTAATCCTAATCAAATACGTTGACTACCCAAAAAAGACACTACAACCAAAGTGCGACAAGTGTGGTGTTTAATGGCTACTCAGAAGACCTGTCCGTTAAGAGCATCAAATCTGCTGAGCATCTCTGCCGATGCAAAAGACACATTCCTCCTGAGGTCATCTTTACTGAGTTAATGGTGGTCTTCATGAATCGGGACTACATTTTATTTTCCAACGATAGAAATAATGCACGTTTCATTAGCTTGATTACTGAGAGGCTTCACAGTAAAGCAGGCTAACAAAGACGCAGACCATCTGATTGTTGTGGCGGTCGTTGAAGTATCAGGAGCATGAGAAAGTTTTGGTAGTTGGTGAGGTTACGGACCTTCTCATCATGCTCAGTGGCCTAGCCACATCATTAGCAAATATGTATCTCTCAAAACCTAGAAGAGGTACGACTTCATCAAAAGTAGGTGGTCCCAACAGCTTCAAATTGGTAGACAACATCAGAAGGCCACTCATATTTCTTCACGCCACAAGTGCAAGCTTTAGCACTCTTCAAGCAGGACAAGAAGTTGATTAAGATGTTGGTTAAAAATAAATGTCTTCTAGAAGAAATCAAGCCTTACACTCAAGCTGAAGCTATTGCCAAAGTTTCTCTACGATTTCTAACTCCATGAAGGAAGGGCAGGAGATTCTTTAGAGTAGTTGCGATTCAACGTGTTTTCCACTGCCTTCGTGAAATACAAATTCAACCCGGCATCCATACCACCAACACCCGAAGCAGCTCACCGTCATTGACTTACATACAAGAACAAATGTGGTTAGAACACCGGATGGATCCGCTCATCCTTGGATGGCAGGATTCAAAGTTTGGTCTTGATCCCGTTCCTACCTCCAAGAAACCAGCTTAACAGTCTCTTCTCCCCCAATTTTTCGCAAATGCAACAACAGGTGTTCAGGTGGTTGTGGATGTTGAAAGGCTGGGATTATATGCTTATTGATTTGTGCTAACTGCAAGTGGAACTTCTGCACTAACCCCCTCCAACCCGATGAAATTGATGAACCAGATGTTGGCTAAGACCTGGACCGTATAAATGGGGTGACGAAAATTGCATACGTTGAGTCGAGTGATGGAGCGACACATTACGAATCGGAAAACACAAACTTTGAGAAGCCGAGTGGCCCAACGACACTCAAAAGTCGACGTCTGCGAAATTTGTGTACCTACCTATTTTTTCCCTTTTCGTCTTCATACATTTAACTACAATTTTTGTTATTATGAAATATAATCATCGCCAATTCTTTTTTAAGGATAGTTTTTCTTATCCTGTCTGCATCTTCATATCAATTGAAAGAACCTCATTGTATTCTATATGAAACAATTTTGTAATATTATCTTTTTATATATTCTACAATTTTAATATTTTATTAGTATTTACTAAGTTCAAGACTAGTACAATGGAGTGCTATTCTACTGTTTAATATAGTATAAATAACACTTATGGAAAACTGCAGTTTAAACAGTCTTCATTGATGTTGAGAAGTTGTCCAACTTGCAGGTGGAGCTGTGCGGAAATAGGCAGTACAAAAAAATGTTTGGTCACATTAAACGTAGACTTTATTCGTCTATATCTTTTGTACTGACAGATGGGTTAGTTTCAATTATATTACCAAAAAGCAGAAGTTAAAACGAAAATTTTTAATATTATGTACAATTTGTCCAATATTGATGAACACTAGTGCAGGAATGAATGCTCCAATGCGTCTGGTTTCATTCAATGCAAATTTATAATTGTATAACTTTTAACATGACTATGTTTTAGATACTGTATTAGATACTGTGAGTTCTTTACACCCAAAAATGTCCCCTTTCAATAGCACTTTTTTACCCCACCACAAAGCACAACTCTGCCGGGAGGGGAGAACCTAGGATAGTTATATTGGGCCAATAATTAAGCCATGAAACAATAAAACCTTTTGTAGGAATTATTACTTATTCGTCTACTTTGTTGGTTCTAACCTACTAGAGTATAAAGCGTGAGAGTGATTTCTGAAATCGTACAGATATTCGTGATATTAATTTCAACTCATTATATAGAGTTTTGAAGAGGTAATGTATCTCATTCATGTAGATAAATGGGCCACGCTTTTATGAATAAATAAAGTCGTTAAACTGGACTGTGAGTGAATTGGTACTATCTTACATGCATCCTGTTGGCCTCATTGTCGTAATAATTTATTTAGCAGTTATAAAGGTGTATTCTTGTTCTGCATATAATAACACTAATAGAGGTGGTAAAAAATGCAAATGGAAAGAAAATGACATTTCTTGTATGGTCCTGTGACTTCTACATGCTTGAAGTCGTCATTAACAATTTATTTTTATTATATCGCTTTCTCCGAAACATTCAGGTTTCCCATTTCGAATAAAGAATGGGTTTGAAGTAAAAGCCGTTCAAAGACAGAATTTCCACCCTTCTTCCTTTCGTGTTCTTTGTTCTGCACAATACAACTTTGCACAATACAATTGTACAAATCATGCTCTTCCTTGATGTATTTTGTAATAAAAGAAATGTTTATGTATTTTTGCAAAATTAATCTATCATCTTCCAAATAATTGAAATAGTACAAAATAAGAAATAAAAAAATAATTCAAAATTGCCAAAGTTTTAATAAAAAAATAAGGCTTGATTAAATGCATTGCAGAAATTATTTATAATAGAGTTCTTGATAATGGTAGTAAATATGATATGTAAGTGACGACAATACATCAATGGTTTTGGATTATTTTAGAAATTATTATCATAAAAAAATTATAGTTGACGGAGAAGTGCTGTTTGAATAGAATCACGAGTGTTGTTACAATAGAGAGGATTTTACAAGAAATCTATAGAAGTGGTTCAGATAAGAAGCAGTTAAAACTATCAATTATATTACGAAGTGAATAAGATAAACCAAGAATGTAAGGCAAAATAGGGTAAAATTAGAAACGTATGAAAGCGATTATGAGGCAGAACAGGAAGAAAATGGAGTTCTAGAAATTTACACTTGAGATACATTTCATTACTTAAATACAACGGCCATTAACTCTCAATTTCAGAAAAAATATTTTTGTGAAAAGATTTCTGTACTTTTGATAAATCAAAAACGTAACGTTTAAGTATGTATCTCATATTTTCTTCCTAAAGTAAAGGACAATATTTGAAATCCCGCACTTCATTGCCATCAAAATGGCGGATTCCTCGGGGATCTATTTAGGAGCAGATTTTGCCACTGGTAGTCACAGAGTGCTGGGGCCCTAACATTCACCTACACCATTTATACTTAATGAGTAGATGCGTTGGTCATGTACGTGCTCAGCGTTATTGAGCCGAGAAAAGCCGTTATAAGTTCCTTCATTCATCGCATGATGTCGCTGAAATGCGTAATGAACCGATGAGTTGCCGAATGTGCCCTTTTCACCGAATTAGAGTCGCCTTAGTCTTTATGATTACGATTAGAAATATGCGTTGTGGATATATCTATAATAATGATCTAATCTTCTTGAATTAGCACACAGAGCACAGTGTTCTGTGCATGTGCGTTAGCATCACTAGTGTTACCTCGCAGCGTTCTGAGCAATTACAATTGCAACCTCCTTGCAAATGCAAATCAGGGACAGTCCTGAGAACCCGTTCCAAAAGAACGTGATTGCTGTGAACGGTCCATCGTTGCCACAGTTTCCAAACACGGGACACGGGAGGATCAAGGAAGATGGTGGCTTGTTGAAGGTGACGTGCGTTGCAATAGTAAAAGTGATTATACGTTCTTGTTATGAAAGTGTGTGACGTACACGTATTGGATTGTTTTGTAATTATGGGTCACATTTGTCTTGTTACGTAACAGTTACATTTAATAAACCGCGAATTCCATCATATGTGATATATGTATATATATAAGTGTACGCTTCTCTGACGACACAGTAAGTATCAGTGCTTGCTTTACATGTACCGTAATAGTTAAAATTATGCTTGCATGGCTTTCATTTGCACCCTTTCCTCCCACGTATATTGGTATTTAATGGGAGATTTCTCCGTGATTTTTTGATTTTAAACCGAGATTTGGGTGATGGACACTTTTGGTAACGCTCATTATATAAATAACTCAACAAAGAGGGACTCCTACTACGTATATACTGCTCAAGTCAGCTCTTGCAAATCGAATTCGGCAAGCAATCGATGGTATTGAGTTTAATGTGATAGAAAACGCATAACTGCTAAGGAGTGGAGACTGTGAAAAAGTACGTGTGAATAAACGCGTACATTTCACGGAACGTTTTCGTGATTCGATCTGACTTCTTACAATTCCGATACTCATGCAAAAATGATGCCGATCATTTAACAAACATTACACTTGCCCTAATTTCCTAGTTATAGTTGTCCTTAATCCAATGGGCCGTACTTTGGTCCATCTGTGACTCGCCTCTTCTAGTTAATTATTCAAAACTAAGAACCTCATGAATTGTTTGAAAACGTTTCTAGGCCCTTAATTTTACTATATTAATTGTAAATTTGCATATTTAATGAGCACATCAATTTCAGTGAAGACCTCCATTTGTTTCAAAATAGGTAAGAGTATAGATGAAATGTTCAGTTGATGACTGCAATTAGTGTGCAAGATTGCAAATTGTATTATATATAGTACCTGTTCAGCACCATGATTTCAATTGTGGAGTTAGTATTAAATATTGCATGGAGTGACAAAATTGACAGCATGAAATTTTCATTTACATGTTTTTTTTTCTTGTGCAGGAGGTAATGGTGTATAATACTTGATATTACAATTACCACTAGTTCGTGTGGCCTGGTAATGTATGAAGTGTTGAGTGTTTCACTAACAGATTGTTACTTTTAATTCCAGTGACATTATTGTATTAATCCTTGTGAAAATATTGTGTGCTGATTATTTTTAATAAAGTGTTTAATTAATTATATTGTGTGCTGTTATTTTTGTTCTTCTCTAAATAATTATGGCACTCGCTATAAAAGAAATTGTGATTATTAAGAAGAAATATCCTTTTTCCCTTTCATTAATCCTATCAAAATATACTCCGAATCTATTAACCATCACTGAATAGAAAACCACTGAATGTGTGAAACTTTAAATGCTTATAAGTATACACTTACATATTCATTCATCAGCATACTTCCTTTAATTTGGAGATTTTGAAAGTGTGATGTATAAAAAGAATGAATCTGGTATTGTTTTTGGCATGAACATCGGTGTTAATTCTTGGAAGTGTGCACAGACTGGGTGGTGTGTTGTTCATTCTTTATCAAAGTTTGTGATCAGTACACAAGAAACGGTAACAATTTTGAGTAGTTCCTTGTGTCTCAAATTACAGATTTGAACCGTCAGAATTTATTTTATTTTTGACACTAATCAAATTTCAATTTTATTACACTTATGGTGTGCAATTATCAACCTGTGCTGCACTGCCATATATCGTTTACTTATGGTAAAATAGTATGCAATATTTCTCATAATGTTACAGTTTGAAAAATGTGAAAGTAAGCTAATCTTTTTTTTTAATTATGTTAAGAATTTTGGAGTCATTACTACTTTGCTTCAATAAAACATAAAATGTCACAAAAATATTTTGTGGGAGATGTATAATTGGTGACCATGAAACCTTGCTTACTAAGAGCTTCTGCGCATTGAACTGATCCTTACTTTTATGTTGAAAATGTGTTTCTTCACTTGAACTCAATAGTTCCAGCTGCATGAGTACTATCTATTCAGTTTTGCACTAGTAACATTTGTCAAGGGCTATGTGTCAATTAGCATTGCTATTTCTGCTTTGACATAAAATTAATACAATGTGGTCCTGTTTGTACCAAGTAGAATATGTAACATGGACTGCTTGTTTTAAACTTTCACTTTCTAATTCCACATATTGACTTCCTTGTGAATGAAGGGTGTTTAATAACATTAATAAAAGCATTGGCACTTTGAGTTGTATGTAGTAGTGGGCACATCCTTCTTTTCTTGAAGTGTAATTAAAGTGAAATTAATTCACGGTCCTTGTAAAGTGGGCATGATAGTTTGCCCTAAATTTAATTTTGTCATGCGTAATGTACTTGTAGTATGAGTTTGGGTAGTTTTAATTATTTTAGTATTCTATAATTTCCCTAAAACTGAGTAGGCAATGAAGGCCATGAATATTTACATTAAGAATTATTGCAAGTGGGCAAGAATGCTTCGGGAAGATTGTCAATTATATATTGTGAAACTGTCTCTTTAAGTTATATTTTTTCCATTTTCAAAAAAAAAAAAAAACGATAAATTATTACATTAAAATAAATTCATTTCTGCCATCAAGAATTCCATCTCAAATTCATTCAATGTCTGTCTTTAAATCTGTTTTGAGTAGTTTGCCAAGTAATGAAATGTACTTGTCAGTTCCCCGTAACAGTAAAAAGGTGGAGATTTTGTAATAAGCGACTATATTACTTTTATTTAGTAGTATGGTCTGCCTTTCTGACATTGATTTGATGAATGTAATTATGTGAGTATTTAGAAATCGGATATAAGGTTGTGATTTTCTAGAGGTAGTGAAATATTTTTGCGATCTTAACCAAGTCCATCTGCTTAAGCAGATATTTATACTGTTATTTCAAGGTAAGTATACAAAACTTGTATTAATATATAAGTCGTTTTTGTAGGAATTTGTGACAATTTGTTAAAATGAATTACTTAACCTGACTTCTCTTATTAGGGTTACCAGACATTGTAAAAAAATTTTAAAAAAAGTACTTATTGTTGCTTTACAGGAAAGACTACCTTTGTATACATTTTACGATAGTCACACATTTTGAATTGTTTTCTCTGGGTTCTGGAGGAGGCTGCCAAACACCAATTATTAGCAACTTGGTGTCTTGTTTCATGTTAGGAAATGTTTTGAATTCTAAGAACATTTTTAATTATTAAACATTCTAAATTTTTTATTTTATTTCAACAGATGCTTGTCATAATTGTATATTCAGAAAATATTCAAATCATGTAATGTACCAAAAAACATTTTTCATTTTGCATCTGTTAGTGCAAGAGGTGTTGCCTTAACAAGATATTAACTTATCAGCAAATAATAATTTAGTAAATTTTAGAATTGTTAATAACAAACAGTTCACATACAGTGGAATATTTATTTGAAAATAATTTAACAAATTCCAAGAAATTATATATTTAATCCAAGTTACGATGCTTTAAAGAAACAGAATAAACATATAGGGTGGATACATTCCAAGAGAGATTGTAATCTTCTGATTTCCCTAAATATTACAGAAAACTTTTTTTGAATCTGTGCTATTTCACATCTCTGAAGTTGATTAGAAATGGAAAAAAACAAACAAATTTTGACATATTTACTACTAATTGATGAAATGGAGTGTAGATTATGTATTTAATAGTAGTTTAGAGAATACAATTTTGATATTGTTTTGTTTTCACTACAACAATTCTGTGTGTGGTAAAAACTAAGACAGTGTACTACCAACTTTCTAGGTAGTATTGATAAATATTGTTTTGATCTCTGATGAATTCATATTAATTGTGAAAAAATACCTTACTTTATGATTCTGCAGACTTACTGCATTCAATAGTACCTTTGTAAGGTAAGTGTTGAGTGAATTTTGTGTTTGAGAGTTTATCAACCTTACATTTCAATTAAACTTCTAAGAGCCATTAAATTATAAAAGCTAGAAACAACATTTAGGATCATATTATAATTGATTCAACATTTTGTGGATGCTATAGATCTTTGTCGTAGAAGAAAGATAAAATTCTAATAACCTGTTTCTCCGCATTGTCACATTATGGTTAAAACTGAATATACTGAAAACAATAGGTCAGTCAAAAGTTTAAATGTAGACATTAAATGTTTGAGGTGTTTTAAAACCTGAACATTAAATGTCAAACTGTGGATATACTCATGCACAGGATACCCCAGATATTTTGTAATTTACAATAACTTCATCTAAAATTAAAAATGTGTTTTTTATGTATAAGTTAAATGGAGCATTTTCCTGTTCACTCATTTCAAGAATATATTAATAACTAAAAATGTTTGCCTTTGAACTATTGGAGAGATTATATTCTATAAAAATATACATTCGAAATACAGACTTAACTCATCCATTAACCTTGTGAGCACACCAGACCAATTTTTTGTGTAATATATTTCTCCATTATTCCTTCATGTTATGCTGCTTAGATTGAGCATTTTCTAACCGTTTTAGCCGTGTTATAATCAATTATAAGTAAGATCCAATGTGTGGTGGAGAGCTTTTAGGCAGTTTTAGAACAACCACAGCTGCACGATGTGACTATGGTAGTGGTCATGATAAAACGAAATTGCGAAGCAGTACTAACGGTTAAACAAAAAAAAAAAAAAAAAAAAAAAAAAAAAAAAAAAAAAAAAAAAAAAAAAAAAAAAAGAAGAAAATTCGATCCAGTCCGCCAGTATCATAATAAATACCAGCTCGCCTGTACCATTTGCAGCCGTGCAGCCCCACGCCATCGTATGTCTAGTACAGTGCTTGTCAATGGGTTATGCCATACCTTAATACGCAAATCGGTCCCCGAGATGTTGAATTCTGACTCATTCGCTTTTGCGAATTACTTTACATCATAGTCGCCCCCCCCCCTTCCCTTTCGCGAACTGTAGCCCATTTCTTTTGCTAATTTATGTGAGAAGGGCTCAGCGACAAGTACGTGGAAATTCATTTTTTCTTATGACCTTACCAACCGCACGAGGGTTTCTTTTTACCTTATAATACAGTATTCTTCTCTAAGAGAGAATATCTTTATCTTCTGACTTAATGAACCGCTTTATGTTTCATCATGAACATTGAGCAATGTTTCGATATCCCTTCAGATGCTGAAACACGAAATGACATTCCAAACTACAATTTTTGCCTTTGTAACCCATTTTCCTTATTCGTGTGTTGTCCTTCAGTCTTCCGAGGTTCGTTGGTTTTGAATTTGTAGGAATTTACGCAACTTAAGTGATGTTGGGTGACCAGGGATTAGAACAAGGAAAAAATCTGTATTTAATTTCTAAACATCACTAAGTACCTATCTCATTATTCCCACTTCTACTTCCGAAAATACAAGTCAATTTTAAGAAAAGTAGTGCAGGATCAAAAACGAAAAATATTAAGATCAATCGCAGTTAACTAAACTAAGCTATGTGAGTTACAGTGAAAACAAACTTTGTAGAGAATGATGTTATTAAATGAATTCGATAGAAAAACAACAGTGGCTAGACACTTCTACAAATACGATTTGAGAATTGCGGATGATCTTTGGGGAAGAGTACATCACTTTTTATTGCATCGACCCCTTTCAAAATGAATTGCTTAACTGAATGAATGAAAAGGTTGTGTTTCCGGGCGCGTCAACTCGTAGGAGCATTAATCCTGTGAATGTAGTGTATCTTACCGGTAGAGGAGGCTCACGGAATCAACTGATGTCACATGTGCAGAATTTTCCACCCTATAGGTCGACAAAGTATAGCAAGAAACTAGTGGTGTTACAGAGTGGCACAGACTTTCCCGTATTAGTTTTCTATTTCCTTTTTAGTCTCGAGTAGCTATTCAGACATGCCACATACTCTTACCAGCTGCCATCTATCGCCGGCCAAAGTACATTTTTTGAAATTTTCTCGGTTGCCTAATAGCAGAACGGAAATATTTTTAAAAATATCAAAGAACAGTAAAACCTCGTTCTTAATGGCTATTTTCTTTGAAAACTTTGGAGC